CGCGGGGTGGGTGGGAAAAATCCTTGGAGTTGTTGGAGCTGAGACCAAAAGGAACAAGAGGGGAGGCGACCCCTATCAAGACAAGGAGTCTCGTTGTGGGACGCCTGGGTACACCTGTCCCTGATCCGACCTCCAGGCAAAACCAGTGCTGCACATTCACGCGCCACGTGAGTCCTCCCTCCCTGCTGCGCGCACGCGCTCTCACGCGCGAGGAGGCGGGGCCCGGGAATGTGAGGGTGCGTGGTGGGGGAGGGAGGGGGAAGCAGTCGGTCACACGTGATGTGGCCCTGAACCCGTGTCCTCGGCTGGCCCCGGCTTGTCTGTTCTTAAAGACACAGGCATCATGCTTTTTTAGCCAACTCCTGGAACCTCGGGGCAGTTCTGCTGTTCCATCACTCTTAGGAGTGAGTCTAACAGGTTTAAAACTCTGAGCATACAGAAAATACAGTAAGTAGGATTCAGACAAGAGAGTGGTAACAAAATAAATACCAAATCTTAAGTTTTAAGGTTTTAGACGCTATTAGCAGACTCACAGGACATTTAAGTCCAGTTATTTGTGTCTTAGTCATAAAGGTAGAATTGCTTTCATGGTGGCTAAGGGTCTTTGTCATAGGGTTGGTGCCTGACAGGCAGGCTTTGTGTTAAACTGCAGAAAAGACTGCCTGCCCTGTGGTGAATAAGATGGAGGGGGCCTTTGAGAAAGGATTCCCCAAATTAAATACTGAGGCATTCAAGTGATCTGTATTTCTCCAGGCTTGACCTCTAGGGACACACCCAGTCCTGTGGACCCAGACACCGTGGAGGTGCTAATGACCTTTGAACCTGATCCAGCTGATCTTGCGCTGTCAAGCATTCCAGGCCATGAGACTTTTGATCCTCGGAGACACCGCTTCTCAGAGGAGGAACTGAAGCCTCAGCCAATCATGAAAAAAGCAAGGAAAGTCCAAGTGCCCGAGGAACAGAAGGTGAGCATGGCCAGGTGTGGGCTTGGCTTTGGTCAGGAACTGCCTTGGCTCACAGCTGTGGGAAACTCCTCTATGGGATGAGGTCTCAGAGTTTGGAGGCCTATAGACAAATCCTAGTTCATGAGGCTCCTGGGGACAGGCTTTGTCCTGAGAATCACAAAGAAGGTGTCATTGTGGATTCCAGTCACTTGGACCTAGAACCCCCTGTGGAGGCTCTGTTGCCAATTACAACTTTCTTTAGTGTCCCATCAGCCCATTTTTCAGCAGCTGGCCTGATTGGAACTGGTCTTTTGCCTTTCAACCTGAAACATCAGTAGGACTGCCTCTGTCTGGGGTTCTCTTTGTGAGAGTTTCAGAAGCAGCTACATCCTTCTAGTGTTCTGGTTTTGCTGTTATTGGGGTCTCTGCTAGTGAAGAGGAGGCACTTAGGCATCCCTTAAGTCCTTACCATGGCCTTGGTTATCATAGCCATTCCAGTGTCTGCCCTGTCCATACCAGTGGCTTTTCCTGCTAGAGCTCAGCTGTTGCTAGGGAATGAATGTGTCCTGGCAAGCTGGAACTTTAATTAAAGGAAGCTGAGGGAAGTATCTTTCCCAGCTGGGTGGAGGACCCATGGTACTGGAAGGGGGGGGGTGCAGACAGCTTTACCTCAGTTCAAGGGCAGGAGACTGGATGGAATCACTGGGTCTACTTACAGCTCATGTTTACTTGCTGAGATGAGGTTGCCTTGGCAACCAGGACACCAAACCCCATTACCAGTGGGGCTATCCAAGCTTTCCTTAGCAACCAGGATCTGGAAAGGTGATGTCTAGGGCAGTGTGCTCTTCAATGGGATAAGCCCTCAGACCCTGAAGGCTTTGTTGCTAGGTAACAAACATCCATAGCAACCAGCTTTCTGTAGGTCCTTAAATGGGGAGGCCTGCTCTGCACAGTGAATTGAAGACCAGCTTTTCTTATACGTGTACCTGGAGTCTTTCTCATGATTTAGCTTTCTGCTAGGGACCTGTTCTTAGCGACCAGGACAATAGAGAGCAGAACTTTGGGTACCTATGCCAGCAAAGACTAGTAGCCCTTAGGTCTCACCACTGTGCAGAAGCAGGCACATGATCAGGGATGTTTGTGGGAGTGTTTCCAAACCTGCCACTTACTCCATTGTTGGATCTCAGTGCCTTTCCACCCCTCCATCCCCAGGATGAGAAGTATTGGAGCCGGAGGTACAAGAACAATGAAGCAGCCAAGAGGTCTCGAGATGCAAGAAGACTCAAGGAGAATCAGATATCGGTGCGGGCAGCCTTTCTGGAGAAGGAGAACGCCCTATTGCGGCAGGAGGTGGTGGCTGTGCGGCAAGAGCTGTCCCATTACCGTGCTGTGCTTTCACGATACCAGGCCCAGCACGGGACACTGTGAGGGCACGCCATCCTTCCTGATCAGAGTCCTGTTCCTTACTCAGACTTGCACCTGACACTCTTCTCCTTCCTCGGTCTGGCCAGCTAGGTGCCCCAGGGACGTGATGATACAAATACATTTATATTTTTAAGAAAAAGCTAGCCTTCTCCCACCTCCCTCGTGGGTGTGGGGAGGGTCCTGTGTGTGCTCTTAGCACTTCGGGGAACCTATCCACCCAACCGAATAAATCTTGAGAACCCAGGAGCCAACTGTTGTGGGGGATAAAGCAGCTAGTGGTCTGAGTCAAAGCCAGCAGCAGCTCGAGTTGAGTGCAGCTATTGCGATCCTTAAAGGGCAGGAGTAAATGGTTAGATGGAAGGGGTGAAGAAGAAAGTGACGCCTTTATTGCATAGACCTTTTCGATTGCTTTTTAGACCAGAGACAGGGACACACAAGACACATGAGAAGTGAATTCCTCCACCTTGCCACCAGCGAGGGTCGGACTGTCATTAGTGCAAATCCTGGGGACCGACCGCCTGGGGGAACCTACCCCTCATGGTCTGATTTGCCAGTCAAATGGAGGCACCGGAGTAGGCAAGAAATCCTGGCTGGCCAATGAACTGAGGCCTTGCCAGCTCATACATTCCAGGCTGGATTATTGGGCAGCCGCTAGGCCCTCTGGGAATTGAGGGTCAGCACCACTCTCCACCCTTGCTAGTCTGAGTTCCAGTTCTACCTATAAAAGCCAGGCCATAGCCTTTGGTGCTGTGGTCCCACCACCTCGGCATGTTTCAGTTCACTGTTTTTGACCTGCAGGCCCAGTGAGTAGCTTGGCAAGACTGGGATGCACCTGTGCCTGCATTGGCCCGTACTCCACTAATTCCCCATCCACAGTGAGCACACCACGTGGCGTGAGTGGTTCAAGGAGAAAGGCCAGAGCTGCAGCATAGCCCAGGTGAGGGCAGCCCAGGCTGAAGTGGTTTCCGTGCTCCATGGCCAGCAAAATACGGAGTA